AGTGCCTGGAGCAGCCATCCCTGGAGGAGGCGCTGGAGCTAGTCAGTCTAAATTGAAAATGAAAGTATCGTGGGAAAGGAGCGAACTCACCCATGCCCGGAGGCGCACCATAGGCACTATAGTCAGGAGCATGGCCATAAAGACCCGGAGCTATATAAGGGTTAGTTCCTTCAAAACATCAATGCTTTCTCAAAGGACATCAAAATGTGCTCACCTTGGTAAGGATTGTACATTGTGTAAGTTGTACCACCTGTGAGAAAGTGAAACGTTGATCAAGTCTCAATCCGAACTAATATCAGTTGCCAACGAAAAAGCGTAGGCGGTGAGATGGGCGGTGAACCAGATCACCTGGTAATGTCCCACATGTGGCACGTGCATGTGAGCCATTATTTGACCCGCGAATCCCTTCCAAGGTTATGTACTCTGTACCTCTATACCTTGTACGGAGTACGGAGTAACATCTTCTTGTACCTGATACCTGAATAGACTCAGTTTATTCTCAAAACACTCAAAACGAAAATCGAAAAATAGGAATTTCCATGCGGACCACGGGATGGTTGGAAGTTACATTGCAATATATGTAGACTTGCAATAGTAGCCAGTATCCTAAGCAGAGGTTTAACACTTTGATTTTCTTGAGTATTCCAACCGAGAAGAAGCTATAGCCGTTCAGTTTCCAATGCCCCGCTATACAAGAAAGAATTCTGGAATCAAATTGGCCTGGGCCTAGAAGAGTAAAAGCAATAGCCTACGGGGGTACGATTACAAATGGCCCAATTGGTATACCGGTTATATATATTTCAGTACGGAGTACATTCGGAGAATAAGAGGGAAAAAACAAGAATTTAAAGGCTCCAATGAGAAGAATAATAGCAGGTAGGGGCAATTAAAACAAGTAAAATCGGTTAAATCAGTGAAAGTGAAATAAACCGAATGCGGCAATGATGATGTTGCCCCACGACCGGACCCCAACGCGCCGGATGCAACTGACGCCATTTGCTTTCTTGCTACTTTTTTTTGTTTCTCTCTTTCTCTATCATCCCAATTTACCGTTAATGTACGTTCATAAGTTTCTTCAATATCCCGACACCTGACTTTCCTGAATATTGTCTCATTGCATTTATATCCCACTTACCCCGCGCTAACCCTCTGTCCCATAGAACCCCTCATCGTCATCATGCCCGGCTTTTCGCAAACCAGCGACCTTCCTGCCTGGAAGGAGCTTCAGGAGCACCACACCACCTTGGGGCGCAACCTTGTCCTTAAGGATCAATTCCAGAAGGACCCTAAGCGTTTCGAGAACTTCAGCCACAAGTTCGCCAACACGGTAGATAACACAGAGATTCTCTTTGATTTCTCCAAGAACTTCCTCACCCAGGAGACTGTCTCTCTTCTGGTCCAGCTCGCTAAGGAGGCCAATGTTGAGGAGCTCCGTGATGCCATGTTCCGTGGTGATCACATCAACTTCACCGAGGACCGTGCTGTCTACCACGCTGCCCTGCGCAATGTTGCCAATGAGCCTATGCAGGTTGATGGCAAGAGCGTGGTTGAGGAGGTCAACTCCGTGCTGGAGCACATGAAGGAGTTCTCCGAGCAGGTCCGCAGCGGCGAGTGGAAGGGTTACACCGGCAAGAAGATCAACACTATCGTCAACATTGGTATCGGTGGTTCCGATCTGTAAGCTTTCCTGTCCTTGGTTAAGTAGGAACATTAGCTGACACCTGAACCTAGTGGCCCTGTAATGGTCACTGAGGCTCTCAAGCCTTACGGCCACCCCGACCTTAAGCTCCATTTCGTCTCCAACATCGACGGCACCCACATCGCTGAAGCGCTCAAGGACTCCGACCCGGAGACCACCCTTTTCCTGATTGCCTCCAAGACCTTCACTACCGCAGAGACTTGCACCAACGCCAACACTGCCAAAACTTGGTTCCTTAAGTCTGCCAAGGAAGATTCACACATTGCTAAGCACTTCGTGGCCTTGTCGACCAACGAGTCCGAGGTCACCAAGTTTGGTATTGATGCCAAGAACATGTTCGGATTTGAGTCGTGGGTGGGTGGACGTTACTCCGTTTGGAGTGCCATCGGCCTGTCTGTCGCTCTGTACATTGGTTACGACAACTTCCACCAGTTCCTTGCTGGTGCCCAGGCCATGGACAAGCACTTCCGGGAAACTCCCCTCGAGAAGAACATCCCCGCTCTTGGTGGTCTGCTGAGCGTCTGGTACAGCGACTTCTTCGGTGCTCAAACCCACCTGGTTGCTCCCTTCGATCAGTACCTGCACCGCTTCCCCGCCTACCTGCAGCAGCTGTCCATGGAGAGTAACGGAAAGGCCATCACTCGCACTGGCGAATACGTCAAGTACACCACCGGACCCATCCTGTTCGGTGAGCCTGCCACCAACGCGCAGCACAGCTTCTTCCAGCTTTTGCACCAAGGCACCAAGCTCATCCCCGCTGATTTCTTGATGGCGGCTGAGTCACACAACCCCGTCGAGGGTGGTAAGCACCAGCGCATGCTGGCTGCTAACTTCCTCGCTCAATCCGAGGCTCTGATGGTTGGCAAGACCCCTGCTCAGGTTAAGGCCGAGGGTGCTGCCGAGGAGCTTGTTGCCCACAAGACCTTCTTGGGTAACCGTCCCACTACTTCTATTTTGGCTCAGAAGATCACACCCTCAACCCTGGGTGCTCTGATCACCTACTACGAGCACGTCACCTTCACTGAGGGTGCCATTTGGAACATCAACTCGTTCGACCAGTGGGGTGTCGAGTTGGGCAAGGCCCTTGCCAAGAACATCCAGAGTGAGCTGGAGACCGCGGGCGAGGGTGCCAACCACGACAGCTCGACCAGTGGTCTGTTGTTTGCTTTCAAGCAGAAGGCCAACCTGTCTTAGAGTGTTTTGGTCTCATATGAAGGACCGTGGGATGTGTAGTTTTGACGAGCAATGATTTTCCACATATTTCTCTTGGTTTGAAAAGAAATGAATGATTCTCAAAAATTTCATTATCAAGTAATGTTACATACGTATTGTGAATCACTTTATAGAATATATACACATGTACGTTTGGGGTTAGACATGACATGATGCAATTGGACGTAGGGAGGTGGTTGGAAGTAGCAACAAGGGGAAACCCACTTGTTGTCCGCAACTCCGCAACGCGGTAGAACTCCGTCCTTGAACTCTGTACAATCCTCATATTCTGGAAACTTGCCGACGCAGGGCGGCTTTTGTCCTACAATTATTGGGGAAAAAAGTAACAATGCCTCCTATACGCCAATTGAGCCTATCTTCCGCAACAGTGGCACTGCTGTCTTTGACAGGCGCATTGTGGCCAACCAGCGCACTTGCGGGGAACGCAAATGACAACAGCGAGGGATACAAATTAAGAGAGGACATACCAGTGTCATGTCTGAACCGGACTACGTGAGAGTACTCTTTAATCAACCCGTGGAGCATGGCTAACCGTTGCTTCTTCTACACTTGCAGGGAAGGAGAACATGTAAGCGCCACCAGCCTGCCTACCGTCTCCTGACAGAAAGACTAGAGCGCAGACTACAAAAAATCACAAAGCTAATTGCAACTACGAAAACATCCAGGTCACTGACAGTCTCGGCAAACTTCAATACGTCCCCTTCGTGACCTGTAACGAAACCGCCCGCCCTCTCTCTTTCCACTACGGCATCTCCGAAACAATAACATGCACCATCGACTCGCTCTCCGATGAGATGTACCATCTCCTCGAGTTCTACGTCCATTCAGATGTACCGATGACATGTCGCGTGCCAACAGCGCCGCTAACGCCATCCGCCGGCGCAGCAGAGCACGCGGACAAAGACTCGGACCAGAAGTCAGGAGAAGCAGACACCCTCTCCGCATTAGCCGACAACGGGCCACCCTTCACACCGCTCACAATCGCGCTGCAAGGCACGCTCCAGCTTAGCCATTTGCATATCTGGACAGATATGAACGTCGTTATGCACAACATGGCCTCAGACGCAGCTGCAGAACAAAAAGCCAAGACTAGCCGCGCCCAGTCTAGGCAGCCTGGCTTCGTGGTTGGCGGTATTGCATACTCGACTCCCGAGTTCGACAACACCGGCAAGAATGCCAAGCTCGACAAGGACGAGGAGTCTGTTGCTCTTGCTCAAGCGGCGCGCGAGCCTTGGACTGCCGGACATGGCACTAAGGTTGTGCGTGGGGAGCCGCTTACCTTCTCTTTCCACGTTGCGTGGCTGGAGGGCGGTGCCAGTATTGGGTGGCCGGTGCGGCCTGCTTTGGAGTCCTGGCTGGCTTTGGCAATTGGGGCGGGGAAGAGCTCTGGATCTTTCTTTTCTAAGCTGGTATTCTTCGTTATGGCGGCTTCTGTTGGTGCCTTGGTTGCGTTGTTCTGGGAGCGTAATGGTGGGCGTTGGCGTGGGCGACCCGCTTGGCACGGAGATGGGCTCTTGGGTGGGACTCCCGCGCGTGGAGTGAAGGGTCCCGGTGTTACCTTTGGTAATGGGGGGAAGAATAATGGGTACGGTGGTTACTCCGGCCCTTCTAATGGTATTGGGAACGGGACCGGGGTTGGAAGTGGATATGGGTTCCCAAGTGGGAAGAGGGACTGATATGAATAAGCGAGAGGAATGAGTGTATAGCTTGGGTATAAAGTGGCGTCTACGACGTGTACAGTGTACCTAACTTGAGAGGCAGAATTGAGCACTAGCAAAAAGCTAGTGCTCTACTATGGACATATCATGAAGCTATGTTTATGTTCCAAGTGATCGAGTCAAACGAATCCAATGCATTCCATATCTAATGCAAGAGCCAAATTCAACAGAAAAAAAACAAGTACCTAGATAATAGTTGTACAAATAACAAAAGAGAACAACACCAATTTTCAGACCAATGCCATCCTGTCCACTCAGTCCATCATCCACACCAGCCTCTTCAGTATATACATACAAGCTGAGTAGACAAGCCGCAGCACAAAAGCCCAAAGCAGAGAAATGGCATAAAACTACCAACCCTGCGCTTGCATACGCTGAATCTTCTTCACAGTCCCCTGGAACGAGAACTTGAACAGCTTCTTCCACCGCTGCATCTTCTTCTGCTTGCGCACCATACCCTTCCTCACATGGAACTTCTGTGCATGGGCATCATTCCGAACACTATTCTGCGAAAGAGTAGCCTGAAGCTTGCGCAGCGCACCACCCAGATCAGTGCCACGCTCAGGCTCAACAAGAGCCTGACGACCAAGCGTCGGCCCAAGCTTCAGCTCGACCTTGCGTGTAGGCAGGGGTGCCCGCGACCGCGCCCGGTAGCCGCTCTGTGCGCCTTCGCCGACAGCCCGGGAAAGCGAGTCTGAGAAGATCCGGCGCTGGCTGCTGGATGCTTCTCGGGGCTTGTTGAGGTCGAGTCTGCTGAGGATGTCGTCAAAGTCGGAGACTGGCTTTCGCTCTTGCTTTGCAACCCCTGGGGCTGCTGGGCCTGTGCTTGACTGGTCGAGCTCGGAGATCGGCTTTGGGGCTTGCTTTGCGGTCTCGGGGGCTGTGGTCGGCTCGTCGGTGGGAGATGTGGGTTTGAAGGGTGGGCTTGGTGATGAGGTAGAGGAATTGTAGCGAACTCCGTTGGTGAGGAAAGCGACGCGGTGCAGCTGGGTCTGTTGTTGGAGCCATGGTGTTGGCCTGGCCCGGAGGCTGCGGGCCAGGAGGCGGAAGTCCATTTTGATTGGGCTCGCTCGTGTCAATTAAGCAAGTCTATAGTGGTGTATTGGACTGTCTCCTGGGTTTCGGACTGAACAATTGGTCGAGGTGGGCGCGCAAGTTCGGAGGTGGCTCGAAGTTGCCGTGATGGAAAATCATCGTTTCCCGATTGGAAAGGAAATTGTAGGTCACGTGTTGTATGCTTTTGGGATATTTGCTAGAGATCGCGAATATCACACCTGCAAATCTCGTGGACTTACAAATATCTCTCTTATTTTGATTTGAATAACTCCTTTGGCATACAAAGTCCACAAATTTGCGCCAAAAAAAAAAGAATGTCATCCATCTCAATCGCAACTCTCCCCCGCATGGGCCGCGATGTTCTAGCGGCCTTTCTCTTAACCGGCGAACCAAGCAATTTAGCCATCGTTGACGTCCGAGACTCAGGTAGACAATCATCCTTTTACCATTTAATCAAATACTATCAACTGACACTGTTCAAAGACCATATTGGTGGTCATATCCACTCATCAACTTGGGTCCCCAGCACAACGCTGGACGTGCGCATGCCCGAGCTTATCCGCACTCTCAAAGACAAGAAAATGGTTGTATTCCATTGTGCGCTCAGCCAGCAACGTGGTCCCTCTGCTGCTCTTCGCTATGCGCGCGAACGTGAGAGCACACTTGGTGCGGAAGAGAGCCAAAAGCAGCAAGTATTTGTACTCGAGGGTGGGTTTGTGGAATGGCAGCAGAAGTATGGCAATGATACTAAGCTGACTGAGGCTTATGTTGCGGATATTTGGGAGGAATATTGAGCTGAGCCTTGAGATGATGGGGCTCTAGCCACTTTATGCATCTGCCTTTTTTTTCATGAGATTTAACGAACTTGATAGGAGAGATACCACTTAGATGCATTGATGGTTTTCATTTTCATTTTTTATTATTCTGAGATTGGGCCGAGAGGCTCTGTCTCATTATTTCTGCATATTGGGCGAGTCCATGTTATTCTATTTGAATTTGATGAAAGATGAAATTATTGTACATGAAACGAGCAGTCTATGCTCCGAGTCTATTGAATACAAGACGAATATACTTGCGGCTCTACATTTGAATGCCGCCTCCAAACCCAACAGGCCGTCTCTGTCCTCCATTTTCAGGTACAATGGCCATGACCTTGTAGATCTGTCCCATTGACCCGCCGCTCTTCTCAACCAATCGCTTCCAGCCGGTCTCCAGTGTCTTTCTATGCTCTTCATCTTGCACCTTACGGAGCAGCTGCTGCATGCGCTCCTCAATACCCATGGCCCCAAGGAAATCACCCTGTTCAACAGGACCGTGGACCTCGACGCCATCGCTGCCTTCGATGGCGGCTTCGGCCAGCGAAGTGAAATCCACATCTGCACTGACATCCACTCGCCCCGGTTCTGAGAGTGGTGCCACTTTCTCGTGGTTTTTGATTCCGCGCAGTGAGTTGATGGGGATGGTTGACAATGTTCCGTAGTCCATGATCAGGGCTGCGCCAGATGGAGTCTTCTTCTGCGATGACGGCAGTGGGCTAGAAGCTGAGGACTTTTTAGCAGCAAGTGCAGAAGCAGAGGCACCACCAATACGGCGCGCAAAGTCTGCGGCATAAATTCTGCTTTCAGGGCTGATCTCGATGGTCGAACCTGGCTGCGATTTGAGTGCCCGATAACGCTGAGAGATCTCCGGGATCACTAGCGATGACGGCGTGGAAGCTTTGGCTTTGGTCAATTGGAACTCAGGCTCTCCTTCTATGTTCTCTTCGACGGCTTTTGGATTTAATGTCACCATTAACTCACGCCATTGCGGGGTGTTCGCGTGCTTGGGCGGATTATGTAGTTCTACTGGACCTGTGGGAGTCATGATTTTTCGTGGCTCATTGGCCTGCTGATTCTCTGGAGATGGCGGAACAGATTCAAATGCATGGATTGGAAGCGCGTCGAAGAATTCATGTGCGAAGATGAAGGGTGTCTTGCCTTCCTCTGCATCATCGACGTCTTTGGTCAGCATCAGAAAAACGGGAAACTGACTTAAGATCATTACTCACCATGCGGCAGAAGACGAATATCCTCCACCCAGACGACAGGTACATCAAAGTACTTGCACACACTCCGGTGTCCAATGTCTGTCTCCTCCATCACAGCCTCCTCGCCGCACAGCAGCCGCTTCTGCACTTCTCTGAGAGTTCCGCTAGCTTCGACAAGATAAATAGCCTCAACACTTGAAGAAAAGCTCTTGAAGTTTCGGAAAGTCTGTTGTTATCGAAATCATGGTCAGTCCAATGAGCTTCTTCTTCTTTTCATAAGAGCAAGACAGGCATTGATACAACCACTCACCCGCAGCATATCATCCATCAAAGTTCCTTTTCCCGGGCCAACCTCTATCAGTTGAACACCACTCCTCGTCCGCCCCTGCGCCATCCACTCCGCGATAGTCCATATACCAATCAACTCTCCAAAGACCTGCGAGATCTCAGGCGACGTGACAAAATCACCATTTTTGCCAAAGACACCTCCGTTCTCCCCTCGAGTCGTATAATATCCACCATCTGGGGAAGTCAAAACCTGGCGCATGAACGCCGCGATTGGTACGGGACCAGTGACCTAATTTACGGAAGTGAATGATCAGCAAAACTGCAGTGAGAGGTAAAGCAGACTGCATAGCTACCTTCATAACATTGGCCAATGTCTTCGCTAGTGGCGTGGACCATTCTCTCTGTTCAAACGTGGAGTTCCATCTTCCTGGACATCTTGGAAGTACTGAGTTGCGAGGTCTGCGGAGGATATGTAACGCTACGCGCCTCGTGGTTTGGTTCATTTTTGGCTCAGGGCTGAGTGATGGTAGTTGTTCCTATCACCGGATATACAATAAGTGAGCTGCTTGCGGCAGGTAAGCACAATTTCCAGGCCCCAAACACTTGTTCTATTGCGTCGCGCCAAGTCGAGATGTTTCTCTCAATCTCTCCGCGGAAGCTCCGTTACACGTGATCAAATACTTATCGCACTGTTATCTGCCGCTAGTCCCAAGATAGTATAGCTCAGCAATCTGAAGCCCTAAAGAGACTGGGATATGACCCCCTAGGGCCTAAACAGGAACTGATGTTTTTGTTATGGTCTAGTGGTAAAGAGGCTGTATTTTTTCTTCCCACAATATAACATCAATAAGCATGGGAGCAGCCTAACCGTTGCCATCAACAACATGTGTCACGCTTGATTCTGCAACTTATATACATCATAGCTGCAGCGATGGGGATACCCATTTCGAGAGAATAACAAAGTCTAATATGGCACAATCCACTAACAAGGAACCCAAGGTCCTCCTGAGAGATACATAGCGCTCGAAACACAAGAGCCTGCCTGCAAGGGCAGTTGAAAGGTTACGACGTAGTCGCTTGTCGTGTAGATAGTAGTCGGGTTGGCAGACCATCGAGTGATAAGACCACAACTCTGGACAGCGTCGTGAAAAGTGGATCCACCATCCGTGATCCAGCCGTCGGCCCAGACTGTGAACTCATGCATGAAGACAAGATACCTTTTCGTGCAAAGGGGCGCGTATGGGTTTGGAACCATTTCGTTTGTTGACTGAGTGCAGCAGTCGATAATATTGTCTGGACAAGGTCAGTACATAGTCCGTTTGTTAGAGATAGAAGGTGTGGATATAGGATTAGTACTTTGACTATCATAGAGGCAGTCATCCCCTTTGAAGTAAACATCGCCATAGGAAGATGGCCAGCTGGCAGTAACCTCACAACCGGGATTAATAAACCCGTGGTTGGAATCGCTACCATCAACCTTTGCGTATATCTTCACTGTAGTGTTTTCTGAATCGGAGCGTATAGCAGCTTTTTCAATAGGTTAGCTGGTCTTTCCCTGGTGATGGAAATTGAAAATACGAGGGGAAACTCACTCTGAGTCCAGTCGGCGCAGAGAATTTCACCATTTACAGAGATACAACCGACCTGGTTATGCTGCAATTTGTGTCAGACTTTTGTTGGTATACGGTCGATGTTTGGGAAGATACCCACCATAATAGTTCCTTGCCCTCTAGGCTTTACCGTGTTAATGGATACCACGGGCGTATCTGGTGCGTCTGAGGGGGTTTCTGGGCTCAGAGTGCTAGAAGTCAGGGTGCTCGATACTAGAGTGCTCGATACCAGAGAGCTCGAAGCCAGAGAGCTGGAAGCCATAGTGGCCAAAGTGCTCGAAGCCAGAGAGCCGGAGGACAGAGGACTGGAAGCCATAGTGCTAGAAGCCATAGTGCTAGAAGCCATAGTGCTAGAAGCCATGACACTGGAAGAAATAGCGCTGGAAGCCATAACTCTGGAAGCTAGAGAACTCGAAGCCAGAGAGCCGGAGGACAGAGGACTGGAAGCCATAGCGCTGGAAGCCATAACGCTGGAAGCCGTAGTGCTAGAAGCCGTAGTGCTAGAAGCCATGGCACTGGAAAAAATAGCGCTGGAAGCCATAGCTCTGGAAGCTAGAGAGCTCGAAGTCAGAAAGCCGGGAGCCAGAGAGCTGGAAGTGGATGCTGCCGAGGTAACTGTCCATGATGGGCCGGAGCCGGTGATGGGTGCATCCTCTGGGCTGTTTGGGACAGCTGTGAATGCGCCGACATCTGTCGTGACCGTGAGGCACATAGTTAGAAGGGAAATGGTCTCGGATATCGTGGAGCTTGCCGTGCTCGAGGCAGAAGAAGAGGTGGAGGATGAGCTAGCATCCAATAATTCAGGAATATCACCCGATGCCGGGTACATTCCCGGAGTCAACCACGAAGGCACGGAGCCAACAGGTATAACCATCATGCCAGCAGAATCAATAACAACGGGCGTGGCAATACCGCCTACCGTTACCATGGCAGCCAGGCCTGCAGCACTAATTATTGGCAACCCAGCCAGGAAATTGTCGGAAACTCGCTCCTTGACGAAAGTCACACTCTCGGCAGGATTTGATGGATTGGTGACGGTGGTCATGGCCGAGTTAGAGGTGGGAATGGGAATAGCAGCGACTACGATCGAGGTTGCCATAATAATTGCAGCAGCTGAAGAAGAACTAGGTAGCTGCGTTGAAGATTGAGAAGAACTCTCAGTCGTTGAAGCAGCAATGGGAGGGAGCAGCACTTGGATGGAGCTGGAGCTGCTGAAACCCGATGTGATGGCTAATGAGGATGTGCTAGCTGAGGATGCGAATGGAATATAGCCAGAGCTGCTCATATCCGATGCGACAGTTGATGAAGAGGATGTGGTAGAGTCGGAGATGTCAGGGTGCCATGTGCTAGCTGAGGACGGGCGCGGAATGAAGCCAAAGCCGCTGAACCCCGATGTGATAGCTGATGAGGGTTTGCTGGAGCTGGTGCTCTCGGGGTGCCACGTGCTAGCTGAAGAGGGGAGTAAAATGAAGCCGGAGTTGCTACCATTCCGTGTCCTTTGTGTTGATGATGGTGATGATGATGATGACAACGGAGGTGCCACTGCAACGCCATGACTGGAAGTGCCCGCGACTATAGATGAAGAAGCGGTTGAAGAAACAATCAAAGAAGCAGTTGACGAAGCAACTAAAGAATAATTCAGAGGGCGAGACGACGAAATAAACTCAGGCCCAATTTCCGCTCGCCTATATCCATAGCCATAAACGCTATGTAGAAAGAAACTGCAAATAGATAGCCACACAGAAACTTGCATCTTTAATGATTTGGTTGAATCAGAAAAGAAGGATGAGATTGGAAGAATAAATACGTCTCCAATATGTATAGTCCCTTTATTCTGTACATTGATCATTTTGAACCTCGAGTTACTCTTTAGGGCTTAATTTAGTGGCGTCTGGTTCCATGTCATCCTATCCTAATCGAGGAATTGATCAATATGCATATACAAATCAACCCTTAAGATATCGTATGAGAGGATTTCAAATTTCTAGGGTAAAGCAAATCTGAAGTAGAAAGTGCATATCCTTGCATGAAACGAGTCGGGTTGATGGAGTTCCTGGCAGGTTGAGGAGAGTGAGGTACATACCATATGTGTATGTATGTATAGTCACCTACATAGGCGAAAATGCTAGGTGCCAGATTGCATTTCAAATGACGGTTGGAATCTTTTCAACGCAGAAAATTTCATAAGACTGTGATCTTACCATTTTAGTTTTAAAAAGTGAAGCCATATCAGGTCTCAGTTTCACCACTCCCAAAATATTTAGAGGAACAGCTGGGACCTTCCTTTTTTGTATACTCCGTGCTCTGGACTTGGAGTGTTAGCTTGTATTTCGAAATTGGTTATCTTCTATCGAATAATAGTTCTATATGTACATATAGTCATTTCGGGCCTCCGTTGCGCCACTTGCAAGACTTTCCTCTTTGGTATCCTGCTATGTGTCCCGTACCATGTGGGGCTAAATTAATGTGCCCATTTATACCGCCTACATTAAATATACTGCCTGTCTCTCTAGACGGTCAGTTTATACTGTTTTTGCTCCACGTGTTCTCCACGTTCCACCAATTCTTATTAAATTCCAGTACCTCATATTACAGTTGTGTCTCACTGGGGCTGATGGGGGTTTGAAATTGATGTGTGTACATACATTGAAATACTGGGTGATAAACAGGGCATCATACCCGAACATCATGCGACAGTACTCGGCATACTACACTAAAGTGTATACCATTAGACATTGTCCGCATTGTGAAAGACACTGATTTTGTTATTTTAAGTTAAATTAAGTTAAATTCATGCATAGTGACCTTATCATACCTTGCAATACATCTTGATTTCTGTCATTAATCGTGCCAAGCCCACCACCTACCGTTGCCCAATATTTCTGAGGGCCCACTGTGCTCTCGGATAGGAATATGGGTAAGTCAGTCCTTCGAAGTAGCCTTGGAGGCAAAGGTAGAACGAGGGTCGGATGCCCAGATATAGGCATGGGGGTAATATGAATTATTATTATTATTATTATTCTGTTGGATTTGAAATTACATCTGAGAGGTGTTTAAATTATATATAACTAATATCAAATACCTTCTACTGCTGGGGAATTTTCGTTTCATTGTCTCTTCTAACAAATGTTACCCCAAGTCTATGTTTTGTTTCCTGCACTGCTAGCCTCCTGGGCAGCAGCTTCCCCTGCTTTCCTCAATCCACGCTACCCGCAGGTGATCCCTCACCCGTCTCCCATTGAGAAACGTGCCGATGGAGACATAGCTTTGCCAGCCAGTGAATGTGGTTCTCCTTGTATAGTCAGCTTTGAGCCAATTACTACGATAGTCACTATATCTATTCCAGATCAGACTGTCTGGGTAGCAAGTGTCAGCCAGTCTGTTACCTTTGACTTTCCCCCGGTCACCACGACCACAGTCTTCCAACCAAGTGCGCAAACATTCTCCAATAATGATCCGGTTGCCACCCCGACAATTACACTCCAACCATTGCAGGTAGGATCTGTTATGGTTTTCGGCAGTGAAGATATGGACATTGACGATGCCATGGACATTGATGATGGCATGGCTGTCCATCATCATGAGCAAATCATCCTACCGGTGGAATACATGCTCATTGACGATGATCCAGTGGAGTATCGGAAACTTCCCGAATACAACCCGTATGATTTGGGAAACAATTGTGCCATCATCACCATGTCTTATTTGATGGGAATGGGATTACATGATTTTCTCACGCATGTGGAATTGATGCAGCCCGGACCAACTCGAACTGGCATTACCACCACCGAGATGCAAGAATTTCTCGAATACACCGGTCGCAGGTTCATGTAAGTAGAAGATTTTCTTTCGGTACTTGTCTGCTAACACTTGAAATAGACTTGGGCCATATGATTCCCGTCGCAACAGTCTGAACTCATTGTTGGCCGAGTTTGGTGTTGACAAGCTTGGAATTTGCTACTGCCGCGATGATGCATCGGGGCATTGTGTTGTGTGGGAGAAAAACCGTTTCTGGGATTTCCAAACCTCTGATGCCCCAATACCATTTACCAAGGAGCCAGACCCCACCTTGACCCAGGACGAAATAAGAGACGTGTTATTTATCGAAACCGACGGAGGTATCCCCATCACGAACTACCTAATACCGCGTGATGTGCCAATACAATATGGGAATGGGGTGACTGGAGTGATCAGAGTGATACCATACTTCTTTGTCATTTATTAAAGCAACACGTTGTATTGGGTGAGACCAACAGGCTTCTGAAGGAACGGGTATGGCGATATTTAGCGTCCACCACGACAATTCATTTAGTGCCATTGCCACCGTCTTCATTTCTTATACTTCTCTATGTTTACGTTGTATTAAGAAAGCTTGCCTGATTTATCTGATCTTTTATACTTGTGTGTTTTTGCCTTCTACAAAATCTCATGTGCGTAAAGAGTGGGTGATTTGTACAGATGTATGGAGTATAAAAACATTTGAAGATTGAATTTACGATACCTAGTGCATACATAGAAATGTAGCTAAATTCGATGAAAATTACAATGAATACCCACATAGATATCAGAGCATTTAAATACTAAGTCAGGGGGTACATCTCTGCAGATACAAAGTTGCTTCTCAGCCCTCACGGTATTTATATATCATTATATAACACCCCTGAAAATACGTACATCACCTGCGCATATATAGAGATATAACTCTGCCCTTGCATTGGTAGCTCGATTATTCTGTTGTTCTGTTGGATAAAATGATTGGTCACTGTCTCGCAATAGGATATACATATTTTGCTACAGTCAGGCTTGGGTTATTTTACAAAATCAGTACATATGTAGATCTTCTCAGACCCAAATACTAATGCAAATTTTCTTTGGGTGAATAGTGGCTAAAAGTGACCTAGGTTGGATAGAAAAAAAGACGCCACGGTCCAACGAAGTCATTCGAAGAAGTCCAAGGGGGAAACAAGAAATGCAGTATATTCTAGTATCAAGCCTATCAAAAAAGGAAGAAAAGTTGATACACTGCTTCTAAATTCACCACAGAGTACATCTCTAGAAAGTCATTGGCTACTATCTATAGCCTTACCCTTTCTTTGTCTTTGAAGGGATTTTGCGCTTTCTTTCTTGCTTCACGTCCTACCCTTGCTACCCTCGCTTCAAGTATTTCTTTGTCTTGCCGCTCTCGCTTGGATACCAGTGACCTTCGCTATGTTGAGTTTATAAGTTTGTCTGTCTTGCGTTGATACCTGGGGGCATGGTCGAGTTTGTTTTTATAGCGTCCTTTGTTTGATAACAGATGAAAGGTGATATTCGAGGCTTATAAAAGCCGTCTGCTCTCAAATCTTGACCTTTCTTATTTCCCTGTCTCTCGTCCTACTATTATTCTACGGCTTTTTCTAATCTCTTCTCTATCAATAATCCAGCGCGGTATATCCAAAATGCGCACAACTCGGCAGAAAAGAAAGGCCGGTGATGTCCTTCTACCTGGCCTTCCGGATGAGAAGCGAGTCAGGACACCGAAGCCGCCTGGTGGCAGCCCCGCTCGTGTCTCTAAGCCCTCTGCAAAGAAAGGGAAGAAGGTACTATATCAAATTGTCCTTTGTATTATGGAAATCACTTACAAATAATTCTTTGGAAAGAAACATGATCCAAGCCTGCCCCATGTTGCACTTGCAAACAGTCTCCTCGAGGATGGGGATAGTCTTCGTCTGCAAGGAAGTTCACTTGGTCAAAACTTTCCACCACCGACAGTATGGGGACCTCGTGAAGAGCCTATTACCGATCCTACCCAGCTGCCTGAAGGGTGGTCTGTAAGTGAGACAGATCTCGCGGATGAGTAAGACACCCTTTCCAGTTCTCTCTGTCGAATCCTCCATGGCTAATATTTTCGTGGTAGTGATATCGATGGCCAGATTCAAAGATGTCAACGACGCATTGGCGAGAACATGATGCCTGATATTTTCAAGGAGAGATTGAAAATGTACCAAAAGATCAAAGAGGAACACACGTAAGGAAATTCTGCATTCTATACCGACGGGTGCCTTTCTCATGGCAATGACTAACATGCTCTTTTATAGAGAAATGATCAACTCTGAGCCTAGCGGTCTTAGCTGGGAAGTTGTTCAGCGTCTTGATATTCTGAAGAATGTCCAAACTAGCCTTGAGGAGTTGGGACGAGACAATGGGAATACTCCCAATGTGATGGCCATTATGGCTGCTTATCGATCAGGGGACCTTGTCTGGGATCAAAATACGGTCACTTATTGGGCCCATGGAAGAATAGTTGCAGGTCCCAAGAAAATGGATACGAAGGAATTTTTTGCTCTTACCGAGAAGCTTGGCCCCGAAGGCATTTGGGTTGAAGGAGTGAGTCGAATACAAGAGATATCAGAGCTCCATATTCCCCATTTATACGTAGAATTCCAGTTATATCAAGCCAGTCTAGCATGAAAACATAGGCATGTCCATCTGCATACAGTGCTAACGTCGACTTATAGCTGGACGACTACAAACCTCCGCCGTTAAACCTGTGGTTCACTATGGGCCCACACCATGCCGACCATGCCACGCATGCGGTACGACTTTCCCAATGAAAATTTGAGAATTTGCTAACATGAAACAGTTTGTGGTATCGCTCCGGAATCCTCGAACTGCAAGCACACATACACCGCTTCAAACTATACACATCCAGGTTCTGGAGGATACTGGAGCTTCGACGATGAAGATGTTCCAAGCTGACAAACAACAGCTTGAAGCACTGAGTGGCCATCCCTTGCCTGTCAGCAGTACATCAATTATGACCACAGCGAATGGGGACGTTCAAGTGGATAACTTTATAGTACAAGCCAACATCTTCTGTAACAACCAGCCCATGCTCCCCCAATGGACTGACATTCGAGTCAGTGTAGCCCGTGAGCCTCCCAATACTAGCCCTTCAGGCTTCCGGCTGTCTGGTGTCTGGATTCATCATATGCTATATTGCTTGAGTATGCCCGATAACTCGCTGAATATGCATGTTGGAACCAGTCTGCTTGAAATTTTGGCAAGTGTACCTCTTTGCGATCCAGCGTTGGCTATACCACCTCCCATTCATCCTTGAGATATGGTCAACCCATTCTTTTCAGGGAAGTATGTCATTGATGGGAGATCAATTCATAACTATATATCCTTATGTTACTTAGCTAGACTCGCGTTTTGTTTTTGCTATTTTGGTTTATATTGGACTTCAGTTGCATCAAGTCCTTGCATCCCCTGGAGGCGTGAGGTGACTCAGCCAGCATCTCTTATATTTAGAGTTTCTGAATTTGATTAGAACAAGTGATGGTCTTGGGAATCATTGAAGCTTTTTTTAATGTAATTGCGAATTATGGAATTTCATAGGCTTGTGTTTGTGTTTGTACTCACCTTATCTTTAGACGCAGGCGCAGATGAGCAAGGAGAAGTGACAGATAGTACCGTAGCACGGGCACGGATTGATCTGTATGCCGAACAGCCTTTGATGAAACATTAATATTCTATCCGATGTGTCCGCTTCGCCGCCATCTGTTGCAAAAAGTGTGCTCCCGAATGCTAAAAAAATGTCCATAAACTGTTGTGACCATATCATACATTTCATGAGAGTGCAAAAAGAAACATGCTCTCCACGACCATTCCACGCAGTGGGTACTCCTTACACCAACAATGCTTGCTCAACCTCAAGTTGTCGTGTTCAAACTTGGGTATTCAACGACGCCATTTCCGTTGGTTCTGGTTCTTCTGGGTATTCCGCGCCGGTGAATCGATCATCATTTCATCACTGTAAAGGCCAGTTTGCAAGTTTCCCTGCTTTCCGGCTAGTAGATCGTTCAGATGGCCCGGGCCACGACGGGCTCGGAGTCGTTCCTGATCAGCCTGTGCTCGGAGTGCAGTGAAGGGGTCTTGGTTGATTGTAGTCTTCGTCGATTTAAGGGTCATTGTAAGCAGTCTGCCATCAGCCTAGAGAAAATGTGTCAGCATAAGTTTTGTGGTATCACTAAACAGGAATTGCATCTACCCTCTGGTTGTGGAAATTAGCAACCACTAGCTCTGCAGCCGCCTTCTCCGCATATGCAAATTCCGCAACAACACCTGGCTGGCTTGCTACTATCTGGCAGCTAAGCATGGGACCTGTTATGGGCTCAAGAGCAGACTGGATATCGGCAGCTGTAGTCCCTGGCGCAAAGTTACTTCCGACAACAATGAATGGGCCTGAGGCACCCTTAATGGTCATGTTCATGCCACCAGATAGACGGCTGTTTTGTGCGAAATTGCCTGATCGCGCATTCCCTTGACCATTCTCGGATTGAAAAGCTGTCCGGACCTGATCCACATTCATGCGATCTTTCTTGCCAGGGTTACCGCGTGTCCGATTGTTGTTTGTTGAGGGTGCGGGCTTGTTCTTGTTGGGTTGCACGGTCGCTGACGCGGAGCGCTAGATGTTGACGCGAGAGATTGTCAAAGATTGTTCCTCAATGGTGGTCGCACCCATCGTCTGAGACCATGGTGGAATTGTTCATACCTTGGCTACTCCGATCCGGCTTGCTAAGCTTCCGGGCTTTGCGTTCTGTAATTTGTTCTGCGCTTTCTTGCCGGCGCCAGAGCCCGAGCCCGGTGTGCTTGATCTGCGGTTTTTTCCAAGGAGTTGGCTTGCAAGCTCCTCTTGCTTCTTCTTCTGGCGATCTGCGGAGGAAAACAGTTAGACCTTGCTGGCGTCAGCTATTGGTTAGAGTCATTACCAGCCTGGATGATCTCGTCGAAGGAAACAGGTTGTTTGGTCGCCATGGCAGAGAGAATATAGATTAGACAAATTAAGAAACAAAAATAAGAAAAGAAGTAAGGTCAGAATAAATGACAACTTGCAGAAGTTGAAGAAGAAAAGAAGCTCGGGGAGCCGATCAGAATTGGGGCCGATCTTATCGACCTGTCCGCAGTTACAGACAGGCAACTAACTCCTTGATTATAGGTATCCGCCCCATCCTATAGCCATTCTGCGGCATCAAGTCTGTTTCTGTATTCTTCTTTATTTCTACATGTTTTATTTCATTCTGGGTGTTTTCTTGTCTTGAGTACATTGTCTCTCCAATATATTGATTGACATTGAATTCTCCCTGATTGAAACCCCAAGGGGCAAAAGGCACGGAGCATATCTCCGAGGTAGACGATATTGTACAATGTTAGATCAAAATGGAGACAAGAGAACAAATTTTGTTTACATTTAATCTTATAATGTGAAGAAATGCAGTTATCCCAACCGAAGAGTAAATCCAGCGCCTGCTTCACCGCTATCTCCACCCGGAGCACCTCCAAAGACACCTGCAAAGTCCAGCTCGGGTGCTTCCTGGCCCCGTTTAGGAGCCTCAGGCGTGTGATGCCGTCTCCGTTTCTCCATGCCGGCCTTGGACGGGAACGTAGGGAACATCTCGCGCGGTTTTGGACGCGGATCTTCCTTGAAATATTGGTGCTCGAGGCACTGTTTTGCCGTTGGACGAGAAGCTGGATTCAGCGCTAGCAATCCTGACATAAGACTCAAGCCTGCATTGGTCAAGTAAGGGAATCGCGCACGAGGTAGCAGATGTGGATTGCCAGCCGAAGAAGATGCCGATGTTGATGGGAGCCGCAAAGACTTGGCATTGGGCAATGAACGGAATCCAGGCCATGTTTCATTGTTCGGTGGTCCTGTCAAAGCGAAGATCTTGGACACCTGGTCGACTTCATTTTTGCCTTGTAAGAGAGGCTCTTTGGTGAGCAGCTCGCCGAAAATACAGCCAATGCTCCACATGTCAATCTCCGTGCCGTACTTGTCGGCACCGAGGAGCAGCTCCGGCGCTCGGTACCAGAGTGTCACAACGAGCTGTGTCAGCTTAGGAGGTGGATCACCGAAGTAGCGAGCCATGCCAAAGTCAGCAATTTTAAGTTCGCCACGGTTGTTCATTAATAGGTTAGAGGTCTTGAGGTCGCGGTGCATGATCCACTGTGAATGTAGGAATTCAAGTCCCCCAACCACTTGCAGCAAGACCGTCTTGATCTCCGAAGGAAGAAAGGGCTCGCGCATCTCGTCGAGTAGGGCTTTAAGGTCGTGTTCGTGGAAATCCATCACTAGGAATACACTGGGAATCAATTGATTAGCGTGCGTAAAAAATACAGATGTCCACCATGGAGAACTTACTCGTCCATCTTATTGCCCATTACTACTTCCCGCAGGTAAACGACATTTTGATGTCGCGCCTCTAGAAGTGTTTGGATTTCCCTGAGCCCAGTGACTGGGAACCCGTCCGGCGAGTTCTCCAGCTTGAGCTTTTTCAGCGCGACGATTTCTCCCGTCGAAATATCCTTTGCGCGTGAAACCCATCCATACGAGCCCTCCTCAATGTGGTTCAATCTTTCGAAGTTATCCACATGTCTGCAAGGCCCCCATTCTCCAAGCGGAAAGCGTAGTAGGCTCGACTGGTTTTTAAATTCCTTCTCGATTTTCACTTCGGCATCATCTGGATGGGAATCGGGGTCGTTGGAGAGTCTTCGTCGTTTTTTCGGAGGGCCATTGGCCGAGCTGTCATGCCGAGCTTGAGCTTTGTTGGCATCTTCAAGTCGCTGTTTCTCCGCTTTAGCGCGTCTTTTTTGTTCCTTGTCGCGTTTTTGTTGCGCGATAATTGCTTCTGTTTCTGGGTCGTCATTTGCCCATCGTGATGACATTTTTTCTGAGGGAATTGTTGAAGGGGGAGAAGTTTCGGGAATGACGTTTCGTCAGAAACCGAGTTCCCTTCGATTTCAAATCCGCCCCCGCTTGAATTTGTATAGCACAATTGCATCTTCTCATCTTTAGATGCTTTCTCTTCTCTGAATATTATTCTCTCTTCCTCTTCATATCATTCTTTTGAAGTTGTGCACATACACCCCCTATACTTGCCACTGACTTTGGATCTACTGTCTCTTCCCCGCCATGATCGAACCATTCCAGGTCAGCCTGTGTGAGCGCCATGACTCACAAACACCCAATACTAATGCGATTTTTATGTGTAGACGACCTTCTCGGTCCCAATGACCTGCGAAGGCTGCGTGAAGTCTATATCCAGCTCGCTACACGCTTTGGAAGGTATTTCTCTCATGAGAATCCCAAACCCACCTTTATCTAAGCTGACCCCGCGGCAGGCATTAATAAGGTTGATGCAAACCTCAAAGACCAGCTAGTCTTCATTGAAGGCACCGCTCCTCCTAGCTCCATCGTAACCGCCATCGAAAGCACCGGCCGCGATGCCATCCTCCGCGGCAGTGGCACTACAAATAGTACGGAATCCCCGGTTCCTATTTACCATCTCACGCGACACACATGAACAATGCGAACTGACAGGAACCATCAAACAGGTTCCGCCGTCTGCATCCTGGAGACACACTCAACGAGTGTCTCAAATAATATCCGCGGGCTCGCGCGCATGGTCCAGGTCTCCCCAAACATGACCCTCATTGACTTGACAATCAACGGCCTATCGCCGGGTAAATACTGGACAACTATCCGAGAAGCTGGAGATATCTCGCGGGGTGCTGAGTCTACCGGTGGTATCTGGGAGTCTCTGAAATCCAAGGTGCTTGGCGCTGATGCCGCCCCAGCCAAGGAGTCCCGGGGCATTCTTGGTACCGTGGATGTTGACAATAAGGGCCGGGGTAGTGTGTTTATGGACAGACCTGTGGCAATCTGGGAGCTTATTGGCCGGAGTATGGTTGTTTCAAAGGAGACGGAGGGTCCTTTCAAGCGAGAGGATGAGAATACCCTTGTTGGTGTTATTGCGCGTAGTGCGGGTGTGTGGGATAATGATAAGATGGTTTGCTCATGCTCGGGTAAGAATGTCTGGCAGGAGAGAAAGGAGCAGGTTGTCTTGGGTATGGCCTGAGTTCTAGTGTTGACTTGTCCGGAGTGGTCATATAGCCGGATCAATTACTCAGTGATATACGTAGCTTCAGATATGTGATACCATGAAGTATAAATGTGATTATGAATAACAGGTCAATTTCACACTCAGTCAGAGATCATACGAACAAACTGCTATCTCTATTTTTTGTTCATCTATTTAATAAATTGATTTGCTAATGTGTTTGAGGAAAACTTGCCAAGATGGAACATCCATATAGTTAACACCCTCTTCCTTTATGACTACACTTCGACCTAGAGTTGACTATATATTCAATCAGCATAAAGGCTGTAGAAGAGGCCCATACATGTATATCATCGAAAGAGAAAAAGAACTGTTGTGGTGAAAATATCATTTTTGTTGTGCTAAGGGTTGGTAGGTAATAATACAGTGCGTCCAAAGGGGACCGAGGGCCATTTTTATTAGGCCATTCCTATGAGAAACTCATTAACGAAGAAATTCACCAAACCTGACTTGGCTGCACAGTTCCAGGGTAAAATTCGTCATCCGTATCCTCTTCCACAAAGTTCAATCCTGCGTTGGGAATGCCATCGGGTATGAGCCGTAGGGACAGGACCCCTGGAGAGATCACGTCAGGTATTTCTTGACATCCTCTGATATTACCACAGCTACTAGTTGTATGCTGTACAGATTTGACTGGTTGGTTGCCTCTGTCAGGATACTGGCTGTTTGTTTTGCTGTCGAAAAGGAAATATCCATTTCCATCCTCTACTGGGCTTGTGAAAAGGAGCTCAGAGTGGATTGGGGACCATGTATCGTTTGTCAATGATTCCATTGAAGTCATCTCCGTTGATGTAATATCTCGTGATGTGGTATCATCGGTTGCGTAACGGCTGGAATAATCTTCAACACTTGACCACTGCGTGGTTGTTCTTTCGGAGATTGACGACCATCTTTCGCCAAAATTCCGATTGGAGGTGCAACCTAGGAGGAGGTTTGGATAAGAGAATGGCTGTGCTTCTTCAGAATGAGTGATCGGGGTTTGTGGGAGTACCAAAGGTGTGAGGGCTTCATCGTATTCGTGATATGGAGGCAGATTGCTACATGTATCATCCTGAAGCACAGTGCACTCGAGTGGCCCTGGAGAAGCGTGCGGAGGCTCTTCTTGTTCATAGAGCATAGGGGTGTGTTGATCAAGATTGAGACTGTTTTGACTGAGATTGGCATTGTGTTGACCGGGGCTGGAACTGTGTTGACTGGTATTGGGACTGTGTGCACTGAGATTGGGACTGTGTTCACTGAGATTGGGACTGTGTTCACTAAGATTGGGACTGTGTTCACTGAGATTGGGAGTATGTTCACCGAGGTTGAGACTGCGTCGACCAAGGTTGGGAATGTGTTGACTGGGGGTGGGACTGCGATGTTGCCTCGCCCACTGGTCCAGTGCCTCATGATATATTCCTGGAAATGCAAACCGAACTTCGGCGGAGCACTGTCTTGAGATGGGAACTGGACTTTGTTGATCATCACTGATTTGCGTATCTGAACTTGCATAGCTGATATTTTGCTGCTGAGGGTTTATTGCTTGCTGCTCTCCCAAAACTGACTGAGGATCTGCTAGTTCATGAGTGGACATTGCAATCTCTTCGTCAGTAGAGATCGCAATACCCCATGTCTGCCGTATCAAATGGTCTTCTATCAATGGCGTAGTGTGAGTAAAGTGATCCTCAGAATCCATATTCGGCCCCAAACCTCCAGTTCCAGCAAATTGGAAGTCAAGATCATGGCCATTGACTGGGGTATAAGGCGAATTTACCCCTGAGTTACTTACAGCTCGGTTTTCAAGTCGGAAGAGGTCGCGGACAGGGTCAGATGCGGGAAGTGTTTCGAGCGAGTCGGGGATCGAATTGACAGACGAGACGCGGATGAGAGGCCCCGCTTCGACATTGGACCGTGGGGCAGACGGTGTAAGATTCATGCGGGCTAATTCAGCGCCGAATGTTAGGTCCTCTTGGGTATCCGAAGTGTATGCCCTGTATGAAACTCCGTGGCGTTGTCTTTCACGCTTGAGAGCAACAGGGCTAACAAAGCTCCTCTCGGGGCTATCTTCTTCACTTGAACGGTGGATAAGCCCTGACCTCAGCGCAAGTAGGCCTGATCGTGCCTTATGAAGAGATAGTCTTGAGATGGATTGAACCCATGCCATTGGACTGTGCGATTCTGAAGACGAACTCCGTTGCTCATCGCGACGCCAAGAAAAATTTGATCCACGTATCTCTGGGTTGTGGCGAGGATCAAGGGGATTAAACACAGGATAATGGATTCTTTCTTGGCAAGTTGGCTCTTCCTGTATTGACTCAATTATGCTGATGTTTTGTTAGCAGGATATCTCTTTCATCTTTTGGTATTCTTTGTATGTAATTACCTGGCTCGCTTCCCTGAATGGGAGCGGAAGACCGATGACAGTGAGAATAAATGGCGACGCGTGGTGCCTGGGCCTGTCTGTTCATTGACAGTATTCATTTTGTTCAGATAGCTGTGGGAAGTCCAACTGTTCGAATCATCAATGAGACAAAGAAAGCATGTGAATGATCAGCAAAGATAGATGCCGATTATGCTAGTGTGTGAATATGTGGCATGAAAGAGAAAAGAGAAGAAAAACAACCGTCCTGGATGTTCATTTAAGATCACGAGGTTGAAGTCGAAGTGACGCGTGATCGAAAATTACAGTCGAGCTTGATCGCTCTTGCCCTCGAGCTATATACATAGTCTTTATCAATTGTATACGTTGAATATTGCTTACATTACATATTTGCCAAGGATTATTGGACCTATTAGGTTTTTGAGACCAAATGCTTTAATGAGACTGCAAGAAGAAAAGAAAAGGGAAACAACTAGGAATACAGGTTTCTATTCATGGATGATGGCTACTAAAGATAGGGTTCGCCACGGTAACGTGACCGAACGAGCCACAGCAGGTGCAACAGCCATCCATATACCTAGGTAGTAACAACGAACGACTAAGACATTAAGGTTCGCCATGGTGACTTGGCCAAACGTGCAAGGACAGCGAAAAGAAAAAGAAATTCGAAGATGGAAACCTATGAGACCAGGTAGGTCCTTATTAGGATATCCATGAAACCCAGTAAGCTTCAACATTAACGTATAGTTTTCTCTCTTGCAAATGCAAACCCTTTTAGAAAGGATGTTTATAGGTCATAATAATAGTAATGATGATGCCTGATTGTTTGATCTTGCCAGAGATATTCTTCTCCAATATCACCTTAGTCATTCAGAGGTTTCCCCTGCATCTCAGCTACATGTTCGTCTGGGTACATTTGTTTGGCGAGCTGATGTTGAGCATTATGATAACTATAGGGAAAACGGGAGTGTGTGGTGGAGTACGGAGTACGTACAGCATGCGGACGATGAGAACCACATATTAGTATGAAATTGTAATCTTGGCAATGAGGATATCTGTGTTTTAGTTTCTCACCTCATGATTGCTCGGATATTGCAGGATCTGGATTCGAGCAGATAGTTAATTGTCATAGAGTCATGGATTAACAAGTTTTAAACGCCGGGCATCAACCAAGCCATATCGGTGGGATGCAGCGAGGGGTCTACGGAGGGGGGCTGTGAGGGTGAATACATGGATGTGCCACTGTATCTTTTATTGGATATAACAGTGATTTATTGAGGGAGCGCCGCCGGTAGCGTTGGCTAGCCCATTGTTGAACGTCGCGCTTATGTCGCAAAGCACGTTGGAAGAATAGTTGGGATAACTAGCGAGACTTTGATTCTCGGGAATGACGAAATCGAAGAATGTATTGGTAAGGAAGGTGAGGATCCCGATTGTGGAGAACGCACTTGAGTGCGAGGGACCACGATATGAAGTTGTTTCGCCGGTAAGAATGGGAGCGAGTTCTGAGAGCTTCAGCTCCGCGAAGCTCGGAGCTCTAGAAGAAGAAAGGTTGACCGTATGGATAGCGGAAAGGAGGTGCGTCGTATAGAGGAGCAGAGCGCGTGTTTAAGTGTTGAAAGCTCTACGCGTATGCGTGACCCTCAAGAATACATTTGTTGAGACTGTTTACTAGTGCATGAGCTGCGTTGGCATGTGACACGGTATGTAAGTGGACATGTGAGTGGCCTGACCAGATAACCCATCGAAGAGAGAGGCGCTTCGAGGTTGACGATGGCGTCGAGGTAGTGCTTCAAAAAGAAAGACACTAGAGGATGGCGTAAAGGGGAAGTCGATGCAGAGTTTCCCGGGCGCTAACCTATCAGTAGAGGTCTAGGTGCGTGGTGAATTTGAGATGAGATAGCTGAAAAGTTGAGAATGCCAAGTTCTAGACAACTGAATTTGACAGAGTCACTATGAATTGAGCCGAGCTGCCTATATAGAGACGAGAGAGAAATACTAGAGAAACAGAGATATCGGACTGGGGCACAGATATGCCTTACGAGTTCTCCAACTTTCAAAAAGCCCATTTATATCCAGTTTGAATAGTTCCAAATAGGCAAGAGAAAGGGTAATCCTTATATCTAACAAGGACGAAGATATCCCCACCACTCCCTTCGATGTGACTCAAAATATAACGTCAAATTTGACGTTTCAAACTCGAAGCCAATAAAGAGCTTTTGATTTGCGCTGAGCGCGCTAGGCAGAATCAAGCATAGATCGAGGCAATTTTAAATGATCGGAGCTGTCAAGAGATCTCATCCGCGCACCAATGAAGGCCAGGATGGCAATCTCTACCGACTCATCACCGGCTGGTTATAGTCTTCACCACGGAATATTCCGTAGGGATAAGAATGGTCAAGAAGACAAACATGATCAGTATCTTCGGGAGACATTTGGATATGGGTGTGTATGGCCGACCGACTCGATCTTCGAAGATCGCTTGTTTCTGATCGAATAACATCAAAACCACGTATGAGAATCAACCCGAGAAGATCCGGGGTACCGTAGCTAGGTCCCGGCGTGGATATTCCCCCACAAGAACATGGGGAGATAAAGAGCAGATATTAAGCTTCACGCATATCGGCGTCTCCCGTCTGCCAAGGGTCAGGAAGCTTGATTGAATGGGGATTTAGGGATACTACCAATCAAATCAGGGTTGTTATGCGAATACAAGGTTAAGGCACGTAGAGCACCTGCAAAGTAATAAGAGTACGTATTTGACCAGGTATCTCAATCAAATGTGATTGGCACAAGAAGACAAGGATTATCAGAGTTAGAGGTGAAGAATACTGTCACTATCAGAGATATCGGAATTCGGAGGGTTTTCTTATCTGAAGTCCCGAGCACTCCACTCCACTTTCAGACCCATTTCACACAACTTCTCCTTCCAATGACAATCCAACTTCCAGTCCGACTCGGAAGCGAGTTCAGAATCCTTGGCATCCTGATAAGCTGAGTATTATTATTGGTTCAACCGACTCCTGAACGGGACTGGAAGGCTTGTCATTTGTCTCGCCTTCTGGAAGAGGACCACGCGACAGGGCTATCTTTGAGTGCGAGATCGTGGTGGGGCCGGACGCGCGCAGAATTCTCGCGACACTATATTAACAGCTCCTCCCATTCTGTGGAGTCGGAAAAAAAAAGAAAGAGAGGATGGGTATAGACGGCGCAAAATATTTAATTCCCTCATCCTGATTTCCCTGGGTCTCGCTGAGCCTACTCAGCTATTCGATTAAGCTCGTTCAAATTCTCGTCTTCACTATTCTTCGCCTTCGTTGGTGAGGATTCCACCGAAAAGATGCTCGCAAAGTTCGCCACAGCGTTCCGCTCCTCGAATGAAGACCTGGAAAAAGCTCCCCAGGTGAACAATTCATCCGACACAAATAGCAATGAGGTATTCGACAATTCCAGCTATGGCGCCGTGCCTGGCGAGAGCTTTGAATACGGCGATTCATTGTACGCCAAGATTCAGCGCATAGCCGGCAAACTCAACATTGAGCAGCGAGGTGTCGAGCGAGTTCCGGATTCTGAGCGGAATGATACGTCCTTCCTCAATATTGGTAGCATGGTGTGTTCCTGCAATTATCCGGCGTGATCGCCGTGGCCTTGAGGCCTTTCCCACTGACCAAGTTTAGTGGTTGGCCGCAAACATGGTCGTCAGCTCCTTCGCCATTGGCGTTCTTGGAATATCTGCATTCAGTTTAGGCTTCATTGATGCCGTTTTGGTCTGTCTATTCTTCAACCTCCTCGGCGTTATGACCGTATGCTTCTTCTCGTGCTTTGGTCCTCCCTTTGGGCTGCGTCAGATGGTGCTCTCGCGATTCTGGTTTGGATGGTGGCCTGTGAAATTCAGTAAGTTAGCTCGGAGTATCCATTGGGTCATGCGTGGGAAATGGTTATGCTAATTAATAATTTCCTAGTTGCCGTCCTTAATATTATCGCTTGTGTTGGATGGTCTGCTGCAAACGCCATCGTCGGCGCCCAGCTCCTCAATGCGGTGAACGACACAGTCCCCGGATACGCCGGTATCCTCATTATCACATTCTGCACACTCTTCGTCACATTCTGTGGGTATAGGTTCGTTCACATGTATGAGTACTGGAGCTGGATCCCCACCTGCATCGTGTTTATCATCGTGCTCGGCACATTCGCCCACTCTGGCGACTTTGTCAACATCCCAATGGGAGTTGGAATTTCTGAAATGGGTTCATGCCTATCCTTTGGATCTACTGTCTATGGTTTCGCAACTGGCTGGACCAGCTACGCTGCCGACTACACTGTCTACCAGCCAAAGACCCAGAGCCGTCGCCTGGTCTTCTTGTCTACCTGGATTGGTTTGATTGTCCCCCTGCTCTTCACTCAATTCCTCGGTCTCGCCATAATGTCCGCGACGCATATGGGAGACGGATTTAACAATAAGTACGCCGAGGGCTACCGAGCCTCCGTCAACGGCGGCCTGATCGCAGCTGTGCTAGAGCCTCTCGGCGGCTTCGGCAAGTTCTGCCTCGTCATCCTGGCCCTGTCTATTATCGCCAACAACTGCCCCAACATCTACTCTGTCGGCCTGACCCTGCAAGTGTTAGGCCGGGCTACGCAGCGCGTACCGCGATTTATCTGGACTTTCCTCGCCTCGTGTGTCTCCCTTGCCATCGGTATCCCGGGCTACTCGAACTTCGAGGCCGTTCTGGAGAACTTCATGAGCCTTATCGCCTACTGGCTGGCCATTTACTCCGGTATTGCGCTTGTTGACCACTTTGTTTTCCGACGTGGATTCAGTGGCTATTGTCTGGAACACTATGACAATCCCAAAAAGCTGCCCATGGGAATCGCCGCATCTATCGCGTTCATCTTTGGGATTGTCGGTGTTGTTGTGGGCATGAGCCAATCGTGGTGGACGGGTCCTATCGCCAAGCATGCTGGTGACCCAGAGCAAGGTGGTGGCGACATCGGCTTTGAGTTGGGCTTTGGCTTCGCTTCTGTGGTATATTGCATGTTGCGACCGATCGAGATTCGTATGACTGGTCGGTAGGTTTGAGTTTATAGTATTTAGGTTTTGCGATGTACATATTGGGTTGGTTCTGAATGGGTTGGGTTCATTTGCGTATTGGATCGGTTGCATTTTTATACATTTGCATAGTTGCATTACAACATATTTTGCTTCATTTCCCCCATTTTCACCATTTTTAGCCATAAATTTAGCAGACATCTTGGATTTGAGTTTGCGAGGAACGCTAGTTCGTACATAGCTCTCATTGATCCTCTCTACATTACAGCCAGAACCTTCACACTCGGACTCGGGGGAATTCAGAAAACACGACACTTGTGCTCCGGTGCAATATCAAGCCGCTCTACTAGCGAATGTAAAGAATAATTATCCAAGACTGTCAGATGCCTAGGAGGGTACATATGTAGATGGTATTGGAGAGCTCGGAAACTCTTAGCTTTTATTGGCTGGACAAGTCACGCCAAGCCACAAGCGTGGCAGGGCTGTGCTTCCCAATCGGGCAAATTGATATCCCGAGTCCTGCCATTTTGATCAAAACAACGTGCACCTCACAATATAAAAGCAGAGTAATTCACATAGCAAGTGTCATTCTAAGACCAAAATCCTCCATTTCAAGTTCATTTATCATACCTTAAACCACAGTATTAGGCGTGACACATCTAGCCCTAATTCCATACCTCGACCATGCCTATCAACTACAATCCCGAAAAGGATATTCCCGATCTTACGGGGAAGTCAATCTTTATAACAGGAGGTACAAATACTATCCACCCTACATTATTTGAGTCCACAACTAACAGCCAACATAGGAACCAGCGGCCTCGGCGCAGAATCGGCAATCCACCTCGCCAAGCACAACCCATCACACATCTACCTCAGCGGCCGCAATGCCACGAGCGCAGAAAAAGTGATCAAACAAATCCACAAAAGCAACCCCGACCTTCTAGTCACATTCATAAGATGTGACCTAGCCTCCCTGGCATCCGTCAAAGAAGCCGCCGAGCACTTTACCAGGCAACACATAACCCTAGACATCCTGATGTGTAACGCCGGAGTTATGGCCCTACCCCCAGGCCTAACTGTAGATGGCTACGAGCTCCAATTCGGCACGAATCATCTCGGTCACGCACTGCTGATAAAAAAGCTCCTGCCCCTCCTCGAAGTCTCTAGTAGCCCACGCATCGTGCTCCTCACCTCACAGGGGTGGGGTTTACACCCTCGCGGCGGGATCATCTTCGAAAAGCTCAAGACAACGCAGGATATGGCATTCGGCGGGCCGTGGCAGCGGTATGGGCAGAGTAAGCTGGCGAATTTGATGTATGCGCGCGAGCTCGCGAAGAGGTTTCCGACTATTACGTCGGTGTCGGTACATCCTGGTGTTGTGAGTACGGGTCTGGCTGATGGTCTTAAACTTAAGGATAAGATGATTGTTCATGCGACTACTTGGTGGTATATTCTGCAGGCGCATGAGGGTGCGTTTAATCAGACTTGGGCTGCTACTGTGGACAAGGCGAAGCTTCGGAATGGGGGGTATTATGAGCCTGTTGGGAAGTTGGAGGATAGGAAGCTTGATGCGAGAGCGACAGATGAGGCGCTCGGGGAGAGGTTGTGGAATTGGACCGAGGAGGCTTTGAGGGGATATTGATTTGGTGCTGGTTGGAGTGAGTGCTGGGTTTTTGTAGGACTATTGATATGTAATGTTATCGCGAAGTTATATGTGCTGTGTTCAATAACAATCTTCTAGTAGTTCATTCCGCTGTGACTTCACAATCTGTCAGAAAAACCACTAAAATGAACCAAGATCTATTTCCGAGATTTCCAACATACTATGATAGCCTGGTTGGGGTGCTGGAGGAGAGGTCCATGTGTCGTTTCTTACCTTATGAACTTTGTAAAGTAATATTGATTTGGATGCGAGATCATGAAGAGACTTAATAAACCCTAGGGGTATCCAACTGAACCAATCTAGGAGGGAAAAGTTACGAGTCTATCAGCTCAAGAAAGAAAAGAAAGGAAAGGTGGTGGATGCATTCTAACCATCCCCGAGCGGGATGTCCTCAAAGAAATCAATGACCCAGTCAGTGGCCTACAAGAAAAGTCTTGAATCCTCGCAAAAATCCCGAGCAGTGTGATCTGGGACAAACAAGAAAAGCAGGCCGCTCCCGCGGCTTTGTGGTATACAATGTTTCATAGTCTTTTTGGATGTCTTTCTGTTGCAGGGAAAATTCGGGCCTCATTCTTCCACCGCTGATGGGCTCCAATAGACAGAGTCCCTCCAAGACCTCAGCAGCCTCGCAGCAGCATAATGTCCATTGCGTTCCGCAAGCTCAACAGCTTTGTGATACTGCGGTTCGCCTTCACCGACAATCAACGCTCCTTCATCGAGCAGAATTTGTAGCATATCAATTCGACCGTGCTCTGCTGCTCCCTGCAGTGAGGTACGTCCATTGTATTTTGCGGGAGCTTCATTGACATCTGCTCCTAGGTCGAGTAGTCTCTTTGTAATACCAATGTAGCCTTTGAGACATGCAATCTGCAATGCAGTGGCACCTCCATCCGTGGCGGGAGGGCTATCAATCCTGGCGCCATGCTCCAAAATTAGGAGGTTGACAAGCTCCATGTTTCCTCTTTCAACGGCATATTGCAATGCCGTTCGACGGCGAGCCCCACGGCCAAGATAGTTGACATCGATTTTTCCCATCAATGTGCGCGCGATCGGGACCATTTGTCTATCGACTGCGGCTTCGAGGGGGCGATATGTTTCTTGCTCTCCTCTGACTGGTCCAAATTCGTTTGTGCCAGAGAAGTACTGGATGGTAATCTCCTGGGTCAGATCGGGATTGAAAGGCAGTATATCCTCCACGAGCTCATTCAGATGCAAGAGTATCGCAAATGTCAAAGCACGACCGATCAGCCTTGGACTCCAGGACGTCCATTGGAGCAGGAACTGTAGATTCTTCCTAGACGCCACGACCACCGCTATTTCGAGTACTGACTCTGGTGGTGGCAGTTGAAAATCATCCAAATTCCAATGATTCTGGAACATTTGTGGTACGCCAGTGGGGTCCACTCCTGCCCCTTGAAGCACTTGAAGCAGTTGTAGGGAGGTTGTACCATGGGAGACTGCGGTTCCTACTGCAGTTGGGGCACTTCCGCAGAATCTAGCCAGCAAGTGCTCCAAATATACAGGATCTGTGCGTATAGCATCTGCAAGAACACGATCTGTAACATTTGCCCCCCGTTCCAAAAGATTTTCTGCAAAAATAAAATCCTGCGCTCGTATTGCTGCTTCCAATGGGGTTTGTTTAGACGGGGTAGAAACTTCATTCTCCATCCGATCTCCATTATCAGCATTATGTTCAAGCAAGTACTGAACTAGATTGGCCTTCTTCGCAGATAAAGCAGCAGCAAGGATTCCGGGGCCTGATACCCTCAGAATGCCTTGAAGAACTCCATTTTGCTCCAGGAACATTGCAGTGCATAAGCTGCCAATCGTTGCTAGTTTGGTTCCCACAAGCGTAGCTCCAGCAGCCATGAGCCTATCAATCAACACTTGGTTGCCCTGTTCAATGGCGGCTCCAAGCGCAGTGTAAGGGGCCTTCGTGTATTCATCATTGAGGCGTGCGCCTGCGTTTATTAAGAGCTCAACAACTTCGGACGAATTTCGCTGAATCGCAACGAGAAGAGCTGAGGATTCAAATTCCTGACCAGAAGCTGGTCTGTCAACTTGGGCCCCATATTCAATCAACACTCTCCACAGTTCCAACGTTGTTGAAAAGCCCTGTTCAGTGGCACGTTCAAGTAGTGTCATTTTCCCTTGCTTGTCGGCGAGGTTGATATTGACTCCAGCTTCGAGTAGAGCCTGAGTAATTTGAAAACTCCCTATTTGCACCGCTAGTACAACGGGCGAAATATAAGGCAGGCCATCGAAGTCTGGATTCAGGTCATAGCAGTCCCACAACAAGGCACGTACAACCTCGATAGATTGTGTACGAACGCCAAGGCCCAAGATAGTGGTCGTCGCAACATCATCCTCGAAATCGACAGTGACCAGATCATTCATATTGGCACCTTTGAAGAGTAAAATTTCAATCATGAGAACATTCCCATGTTTGACAGCCTCAGCAAGAGCACCAAAGTCCTGCCATCCGGTTCGTGCGTTCACATCAGAACAGGAATCAGCAATGTCTGAGAAGACTCCGATATCCTTCAAATGTGTGGCAGCACAAAGACATGATGGCGTTACAATAGCACCATGAAACATAAGAGCACAGATGGTTCTGTTATCATGTTCGTTGATGGCATAAAACAGAGGTGGATTCTCATTGCACGAGTGATTTACATCCGCCCCATAGGATATAAGAAGGTTGACAAGTTCCTCGCTGTGTTCATGGTGGCTTCCTGCAATAAATTGGAGAGGTGTCAAGATATCACCAGAGATTGACTCAATCAATGGGTTGTTTGGATTCATGTGGGCCTCAAGCATCATCTTCACCGCGTCCACATCGTGTAGTCTCAATGCACTTGCAAAGATCTTTTCCGCAATAGCTTCAGCAGTTGGCTCGCGAGTCGATAGAAGGATCTGAATGTGTTCCAAGTTCTTCCAACCATAATCGCTCAATATTCGCATCACCCTCTCATCATCTGATCTGATATTGCTCGCAGTCCGCCCCCCTGGATCTTGTGAGGTGATGTTGTTTGAAAGAAGAAAGAGCTCCAAGGCCATGCGATCTCTTCCCTTGTTTGTAGAACTACTCAGGTTCATCGACAAATCATCGTGCTGACCCGGAAACTCCTCTGGCATAAGTATGCTCAAAGCTGCCGATGTTCGAGAGCTACTACGTATATTCGGAGGATGACATAGTTTATTCCATGGTATGATTGTGCTCAATCGATGCATCAGTTCGTGGTTGACGGTGATAGAGAGCGCATCAGCACCACGAGGGGAACAGACGGTCAGGGACGAGGATGGCGATAGTACTTCTGAAATCCAGTGAGTCTCGGCTGAATCGGATCATATCCAGAAAGACATACCTTCATTCTCGATAGGGCGCACAAGTTTGATGAAGCGCAGCCATGGGAGTGACCGATTCCATGTAAGATCCATGCCCACCGATGGTGGGGTGTAAACAAAGAACCCTTCTGGGGTTTTCGGGGAAGGAGCTAGAAATCGATCAGTCTATCAATCTCCGAGTTGATCAGAAGCATCTACACAGCTTACCAGTAGTGAACCTAGCTACGCTCGAAACATAGGCATCTCTATATTTTGCCTTCTTGAGCTTTGGCACGTGAATCTCCTTTCCACCAATGTGGAATTCGCTTTTCTTATTGTCGTTGAGTTTTCTCTTGTTCAGCTTGTTTCCGATCCAAATCCACTCGTCCGCCTTGATGTGACCCTTGACAAACCCCCATTTCTTGAGTTGCCGGCTGTACTGACCTGGGCTTTCTATCTGTGAGCTAAGTGAAATGACCAAGTGGTATTGCAACACTTACGATTTGGCAAAAGAGTATTTAGACGTCATGTATTCCATCACGGAGGTCAAGGATTTGTTATCATGGATGTACAGACGCTCAATTTCGAGCTTGAATGGTTCGAAATCCGATTCCGTCATTGTGAGAATTATTGGGGCAGTACGCTATGACTAGGAGTGTAGTGTGCAGGATGAGTCTACTTAAGGGAATCTGAGGTAAAATCCAGGCCATCTAGTCAGCTCCTAAGTGGTTCCAACCTTCCGAACTAAAAGGCAACCGGCACTAACGACAGGCCGAAATTTGTAGTCTCATTGGCCGGTTCTCACACATCGCTATCCACAAAGAAGCTTGGCATGCATAGCCTTGAATTCCACGTAGCTGCCCTTTGGCGCATTGTGAGCTGTCATTTGTTAAATAGATTGATGAAGGTAGGTATGAGCTTGTTTAAGGGGTCTCTAAAGGTTTCAACAACCCCAATCTACAACATACCCGTGGGCCTTCCACTACTTGAGAGAAGAACCTCATTCGTCGGTTCTCACACATCGGGGCGGTTTTCTTTCTTGGGGATCCTCGCCTCCCATATAGGTAAATTTAGGATTTGCACCAAGGCTCATTTTATAAAGATCCGACACTACTAAGACCACAAGACACAAGCATAAATACAGTTCCCTGCCCCTGAAAGAATGAATTTCCCCCAAAGTCTCATCAACAGTCCTTTAGCAATACATACTTCTGGTCCCTCGCTTTGGGGGCTCTTCTTACATTTTTTAAATCGCTCTATTAGGTGAACATGACATCGCCCTATGATCAACAGTGGGAGGATACCCGTATTTACGGGTATAATCTAAGCGATTCTGCCCAAAGCTTCCATCCTCTAGCTCCTGATCTTGACTGGAGCGCATCCGCAGAATTCGAAGGGTTCATGCCCAATGATGTGGTGCCTATCTCCTCCTTCCTGTCGCTTCGCACTCAGCCGAATTCCTTGGCAGTGCAGGGGGGCTCTACTCGTGCCATGTCAACTAGCGTGCCCCACCAACAGATCGCCTCGAATCCTGGAATTGCAGCCTATCCAAATCTCTCCCAGGAGCCGGCTGTAATTTCCCAGGGACGCAACAGTACTCGAAGCCACGCTAGAAGAAATCAAATCAGCGGGTAGGGCAATTTCCCTGTTATTTAATACAAATGGAATGTCTAACTCACTCCATAGATCGGCTTCGCACAGCCCCGACGATCCGGAGTTTCGATGCAAGTGGGAAGACTGCAGCTACATGGGCACTTTCAAACGAGAATCTTCTCTCATCCGCCACATTCGGAAAATACACGTCAGCCCTCTTGCTCATCTATGTCCAGTACAAGGTTGCGAGAAGGCTTTTAATCGTGCGGACAACCTGGCTCAGCACACACGAAACAACCACTATATTTACTAATTCTTTTTGTTCTTTATTTCACGATTGTTTCTTTCCAGGCATGGACTAGGGTTTATATTTTTGTTTTCTCTCTTTCTGCCTCTCTTTTTTTAGTATCTAGAAAGACTAGAATGAATGGATGTTCTTTAGCAAAACGTAGTTTCTAGCAAAACGTAGTATGTACTCCATCCTAGAAACCTTAGTGCATTAACATTAGGAAGAAAGTCTCCAGGGCTACCTATATGTGAATCAAGCCTCCAATGTTCTAATCCCAATTCCACCACTATAAGAATCGTTATCAGACTACTCCATAGTGCCTACTTGAATTTTAGACTTATATGAGGAAGGAACGGACAAGCTCCCTCTTGATCTATGAAATGTGATGCCTCAGGCACCAATATATTGTCGGCGCAGATACACCAGGATACCGGAGGATTTATTAATCCTAAGTATGCAGTAATATTTCTTATGTAATCAGGACAGTATAAATTGCCAGGAAGTCAATACAGCAATACGGAGAGTTGAATACCATTGATTGGACCCATACATTTCCACCATACGGAGTAGTCGGACAGTTATGAGCCCGGTTCGCACTGAATAAGACTACTATATCGGCATATAGTACCTAGCAACTTGCTAGAAACTGTCTTATAAACCTCCACGAAGCCACTCCGCAGAAAGTCATCCCTTGTTTCACATCAAAACAACACAGCATCCAGCAATGGAAACAGCATCGATTCTCTCCGCCATGAAGGGCGATAAACTGAAGGATGCACCGCAATGGCTCACCTGGTTTGCGAAGGTGCAGCTATACGCAATGCAAAAAAATGTCTGGGATCACTGCAACCCGGATACCCCGTCAACTGAACGACCTGATACTCTAAAGGAACCGGTACAACCAGAATATCCTGAAGAGGGCACCGAAACAGATCGAAGGAAATGGAGAGACCAAGCAGACGTGTATAAAATGAGCTATGCTCGATGGGAGAAGCAAGCAAAGGGACTGAGTGATGTAAATGAATATATCCTCACCTATCTTGACCCAGTACACCACCTCGCACTGATCACATATCGTACACCGTATGATAGACTTGTGTATCTGAAGTCTCGGTTCGCTCGATCGACCGCGTATGAGGAGGAAATCCGAATGAGTTGGAAAGTGTTTGCAATGCAGAAGCCGACTGGAGACATCGACAAGTGGCTTCAAAAGTGGAACTCGCTAAGGGAGCAAGCGGTTAGTCTTGGTATCAAGGACGGAGATGCCAATAGGGACTTCCTGCACGCCGTGAAAGAAGTTCTACCTATATGGTGGCAAGGCAAATACCAGGAAATAGTGATGGAAAAGAAGGTGTACGATACCCGAGATCTCCTTGAATCATTCCGCGCGATGAATCGCGAGATAGGAGCACAGGTGGTGTCATCAACCACTCCTCCAAAAGGCGCTTTCTCGACCTGGCAAGGTCACCAAGAGGCGAAACCGGAAACAAAGCAAGAGAAGCTTCCGTTTGAGAAGAGACACTGCCCTTGTGGTAGCTCACACCCGAAGCATAAAGTTGCTACTTGCTGGCTCCTAAACGAAGCGATTCGGCCAGAAGGGTATACCCTAAACGAAGGGAAACTAGAGAAAGCAAAGAAGAAGTTAGGAAAGGACCACGCTTGGAAGCAATGGGTGGATAAAGTGATAGCTGAAGCTCAGCAAGCTCAGCAAGCACAGGAAAAACCAGCCGAATCCGCCAACCAAGTCAGCTTTGCAACCACTTTTCGAAGCAAGCCAAGTGAAGCTATACAGATTAGCAAGCACGTGCTCTCTGTGGCAAAGGCAGGCGAGCCCTCCCTCCGTGACCGGTGGATTCTTGATACCGGATCAAGTGCGCATGTCTGCAATAACCGAGCCCTATTCGTCGACTTCACACCTGATATAATTGACCTAACAACCGGAGATAGTACCACGCAGGTGCTAGGGAGAGGCAAAGTCAGACTTTTAGGGAGACACCCGGTAAAGGGAAGGATGGAGATCACCTTAAGCGACGCTCTATACTCACCAAGTTTCCATACGAGTCTCGTGTCGTACGCGATGCTAAAGAAGAAAGGCGGCCTCTGGTGCCAACGTACAAACTGTATACGGGACCCAAATGATAGACCTGTCGTCTGTGTGAACCTATGGGATCAATTCAATCTCTGGATCTTTGACAAGCCAGGCGAGGCTCCGCCACAACAAGCATATGCTGTGCAGCAAGCACAACGGAAATCAGTGAAGCCACAGGAATCAAGGGCTTCCTCTGAAATTTGGCACCGACGCCTAGCACACATTCAACCGCGGACCGTAGCAAAGCTTGCTACTATGGTAGACGGCGTTGTTCTTGACGATAAAGGAGGAGCAAGCACAGAGCAAGAATCTCTATGTCAGACCTGTAAGACAGGAAGTGCTCCGAGGCAGATTTCAAGACGACAAGTTGGACGTACCTTTGGACGTTTTGGAAGGGTGCATTTCGACCTAATTCAGCTGCAGCCAGCCTACAATAAGCACCGCTGGATATCCCACTTCTACCTAGAAGGACCGAGATTCCACTGGATCATGACTCACGAAGTGAAACCTGAATGTCAATTGGCCATCAACCAGTTTGTACAACTTGCAAGAAATCAGTGGAAGCTGCCAATCAAGGCCTTCCACTACGACAATGAAGCAGCAGCTGGCAGAGCAGCGGAGTATAGTCTCACAAGCGATGGTATCCTGATATATCACTCCCCCCCAGGGCACTCAGAGATGAATGGGTATGCTGAGAGATCAGGTGGAATGATTATCACCCGGATGCGTATGCTCGCCCTCGAAGGGAACCTCCCAAAGGAGCTATGGCCGGAGTTCGCAAGCGCCGCCGTATGGTTATTAAATCGTACACCAACGTATATCGCCGCCGAGAATCGGTGGGTGGTACCATGGGAGGAAGTGAGGAAGGAAGTCGCACCACAGGCGCCGAGGATAAACCTATCAAATATTAGGTTATATGGAAGCTTGGCGTACTGCAGGATTGAGAAGCAAGTACAGTCCGATAAGATGAACCCACGTGCAGAGATTGGCTTCGTGGTGGGATACCTTGCCTCGAATATCTGGAAGATCTGGTTCCCATATAGTGGGAAAGTGAGGTATATCAGGGATGCAGTCATTGACGAGACACGAAAATATACCCCTGATTATGAGAAATATCAGCCTATCCCACTACCAGCTATAACGGGACCACAGGAACTCACCGTTAAGGAGGTCGCACAGGTGATAAACCACCAAATTACTAGTCAAGAGGAGACTAGTACGATGGAAGAGAGGACTCAGGATCTACAGGAAGCACAGGAGCCTCAGCAAGTACAGCAGCAAGAGGAGGTTCCGCAACAAGCAGAGGTCCAAAAGATGACAGTCAACCAACGAGGGACTACCCCAGTCCAGGGGGTGGGTGATAGGTCATATTGGCCGACCCCAGACCCTCCACCACAAGCACTACCAGGTTCCTTTCCGATTGAACAGCCCCTACCACCACTACCAATCACCCCACCGCAGGAGCAAGAGAGGCATACTGGCTCTGGTCAGGGGGTGGATACCGAGGGAGATCAAAGGGACCAGATCCAGCAAGAAGAAGCGGATCTTGAAACCACTGAAGACGAACTAGAGAAGCAACTTCAGGCAGAGCTACTGGCTCCGAGAAGAGAGATAATCGGAGAGTTGAATACCATTGATTGGACCCATACATTTCCACCATACGGAGTAGTCGGACATATATGAAGAGATACAAGGGTTTGTACTTCTTTAAAACAAAACACTATACGCAGGACAAAGATTCTATAGCTATATATGCATAAATGCTATGCTATACTTCAGGTTGAATGATCACTCTGCCCACTGCAAGCATTCGTTCTGGTTTGAAGAAAACGTTCCTACAAAATTACTATACCTGAAGATAGTGCTTGTAGTGAGCATCAAAATTTGAAGCTCTCCAAGTTTCTTCATTTATCAAAAAGTCAATATAGGATAGCAGAAGAAATCCTTGCCCTACCAGGATGTAGCAAGCAGAATATAGAGAATTGAAACACATGGGGTTATACACCGCGCCACGTGATTTCCGCCACCAGCCACAGCTGCGCCACGGTAAATTATTAAATCCACAACGGATTCGCCTTTGAAAGAAATCCAGAAATTCAGCAGCCGTAATAACACCATCACTTACACCATGTCTCCAACCGGAAAGTGAGTATACACAGTTTCAGTCGTATAAAAATTACCGACCTAACAAAACTCTCTATTTTACAGCCGCGCCGACTGGGCCGACGACGAAGATTTCGATGACCCCTCCGTGCTCCCGCCGCAAGAAGTGATCGCGAACAAGGACGGCACCAAGACCGTCATCTCCTACCGCTACAACGATGACAACAAGAAAGTGAAGGTCACCCGCCGAATTAAGACTACTATTGTCCGCGAACACGTCAACCCTCAGGTCGCCGAACGCCGCAAATGGGAGAAGTTCGGTCTTGAGAAGGGCCACCCCCCGGTCCCACGTTCGATACCACCTCCGTCGGCGAGAACATCATCTTCCGTCCCAGCGTCAACTGGAAGGCCAACGCTAAGGAGGTCGAGAAGGAGGGTGGCGAGAAGGGCAGCATGAAGGACCAGCTGAAGGACAAGAAGGTCAAGTGTCGTATTTGCAGTGGAGAGCATTTCACGGCCCGCTGTCCCTTCAAGGATACCATGGCCCCCGTCGAAGAGGGCACTGCTGCTCCTGGTGGCGCCGAGGCAGAGGACGATGCGGGTGGTCTCGGTGCTGGAAAGTCCAGCTACGTTCCTCCTCACATGCGGAAGGGCGGTGCTGCTGGCGGCGAGAAGATGGGTGGTCGCTTCGAGAAGGACGATTTGGCGACACTCAGAGTTACAAACGTATGTTCTGCTGTTATTCTGCTTTCTACGAGCTCTACGAGCATCATGGTTGTTTATTTTTGTTTGGTACTGACTTTTTCTTTTTTTTCGTGGCAAACAGGTCAGC